AAACCGACGCACCGTAGCGAGCTATGTTATAAGACTCAAATCCTGTCAGCGACCGAATGGTAATTTTTCAGCGACAACTTGAACCGAGATTTGAACACGCGACCAACTGATTGCGAACCAAGCACAACTAGCTCTGAGCCATCCATGCGTTGAAAGTGTTTTTATGTCATTGAACCAAATGAATAGTTCTTTTTTCTCTCTTTAATTTAAGGTTTTACAATGAAGATATTGTGATTTATCTTTACTTCGTGAAATAATTATAAATGAAATATTTATATTCGTAATATCCATAAAATAGAAAATTTATATTTATGAAATAAAAATTAAGATTTTAATTTTAAAAAATTAAGATTTTTTTATTTATTTTTATTTTTTAAATATTATAAATATGAATATTTTATTTATGATTTATCTATATTTCATAAAATAATCATATATAAAATATTTAAATTTATAATATTTATTAAATAAAATATTTACATTTACAAAATAAAATCCTTATTTTCATAAAATAAAGAAGATTAAGTTCGTTATTTTTGACAAAATAGGGAAATTAAAGAATTAAAATAGTTTATTTAAAGTTAGACAATTACACAATTTAAAATGAAGACAATACAGTTTTCTCTGAAATATCTGGAAAAATAAAATCTTAGATTTTTACGGGAGAAAAAATCATCAAATTTTTATTTTCTAAAAATGAAAGGCTCATCTTTTTTTACTTTATAAAACCAAATAAAAGGCCATTTATTATTATATCATTAAATATAAACAAAACTATTTGTATAAATATTATTTTTTTAAATGTATAAAACTTATAATTTGAACAATATTTTTAATTTTTAATAATTCAAACATCGTTATATATATATTGACAATTCAACACGCATCAACTTATTTCAAACAAAAATAAAAGGATATTTTTTGTCATCTATTCAACAAGAACTAGTAAATTTAAATTTAAAAAGATCAGCTTGTTTTTTGCATTCCTTTTTTCCAAATAATGCCAATAAATATTCAATATATTTTGACTAACACAAATTAGAAATAATAAACAAAAAGCATTTTTAGCGGCTGATAAATAGCTTCTTTTAATTGTTGAGTATATTTCTAAACGCATGAAAAGGTCTGGAGCAGACCAACGCGTTTCGAACGAAAATTAAAACGCATGTGTACGCGTTTATCTCAGTTTTTACTATCAAGCTCGTAATGCTCTTTAAACGCGTTCAAACCGAATGCGTTTCCATTATTCTTTAATACGAAAACGCGTCGAAACGCCGACATTTTCAATAAAAACGCGTCAGAACGCCAACGTTTTCAACAGAAACGCATCTAGTCGCGTTCATTGTGTGTTTCGTGGTTACATGGGTAACAAAATGTGCATCCTTTATAAACAAAAAGCTAAATCTAAAGTTGTTTAAAGCAAAAAATATGTATTAAAATTTAAGTCAAGGTCTTATTACATATCAAAGATGTCGAAATGCATATATTAGCTGGCGCCCAATTTTAATAATCGATCTTGTTAAAAAGCAGCTTTGAGAAAATGCACATTCAATTGGTGATAATTTAACAAGAATCTATTGGACTTTTCTCGCAAGTTTATTGAAAGTGTTATATGAATTATGTTTCGAAAAATAAGATCACTGGTTAAATTTTCTTTCTGTAGAAAACAATTAATCTCTCCTGAAACTGATTTTTATGCAATGCTATCAATTTTTACTTTTTTCGAGTGAATTATACGAGTCAACAGTAACCAACTTTTGAGTTCGATTCACATTATTAAGACACGATGAGGCCTGAATTATTGTGAAACACAATCTAAAAGAAGTGTTGAAGTATAGATATAGAAATTCGGATCCATTCTCCTGGAGACTGTGACAAACACTGGTGCGAGATCATCACAGCCCATACAGATACAGACGTTGGTGATGTATGATCAAAGACCGTATATGAATAACGTTTCGTTTCAATACATGAAGTAGTTTCTTATTACATTTGTCAAGAATTAAGTATGATGATAGTGAATAAATGCATCCTAAAATAGAACGAATTAAACAATTTTTCTATGATTAGCAACGGCAACTATACGTTGTGTTTCATATTTTAATCCGACAAAAATTGCGATAACAGCTTGTATTTTAAATAATATTTACAAGTTGTGTTAACTAATAAAATGATTAATGTTGATAAAAATTTATCAAATCCTTAAACTCATCACCTTGTATCGGACATAGATTTATCTGCTTCATAAAAGGATTTTTTCACAGCTGATCTAGAGTAAATACTTTCTGTATCCTCAATTCAACGCTGAAAAGTTTCTGTAATCCTTGCTATTTAGTAGTGATAAACCTCATTATCGACGCACTACGCACTCTAACTCTAATTTTGTATAAAATTTGTTGATGTTATTTGAAATCATAATGTTAGAGCCCCTGAAACAATATGTTTACCTATCTCCTTCGTATAGTCATCATATGTAGAAATTATTTGCTTCAGTCAAAAACAAAAGAAGCTTCATAGTGAAGAACAATATGTGGCAAAGAAATAAAAGAAAAAAAAACAGAAAAGAAAAGATAAACCGATCAAGAGCAAGTTGATAAATCATCAGAATAATAAACAAACTAATAAGACCTTATTTACAGAAGCAAAATCAATAACTTTAAAAATAGGATGAATAAGAATATAATTATTTTAAGTTGTTTATAAATGTTTTCGAAAAATTTATGCAGAATATCTTAGGTCAGGATTCAATATTTTCCAGAAGCGATTCGCGATAACGTGCTCTCTAAGTTAGACATGCAGCTCTTCAAGTAAAACTCAATGAGCTCCATCAAATGCATATCACCCTTTCTCCGAAAAATTCTCCCATTACTCACAAAACCCAAAAATACCACTAAAAGTTCACGAAAAAATTTGTAAAATATGTCGCCACTCGCTAAAGAGTGCTTTCCAACAAGGGGACACCGCTCTCCAACTACATCTCGACGAGCTCTATTCGATGGACACATCATTTACTCAATTCGAGTACTGCGTGCCGGAGAAGACCCGTAATTAATATTTGATTTTGTTAATTTTTTTAATTAAACTCATCATGATTTGCTTAGAAGTATTTTCGAATAGAAGAAACATAGCTCCCACCATAAGTCTCGATGAGTTGTATTCGACATATATCATATCAACCCGTTTTGATGTTATCATCCTAAAAAGTTCCCACACTACACGCTTGTTTTTAAGGTTTTTCTGTGAAATTGTGCATGCTTTACTCCAAATATTTTTGAGTGATATTTTTACGATTCAAAATTGAAGTGATACACTGGTAAAAAACATACAGTGAATTAACAGAATTGTCGTTAATTAGTAGTGAGACAATGATCAATTTTTTCTCTTTAACAATATTTTAATAAGAACCTGAAATACAATGTATGGGTACACTGTGTTTTTCAGTACAACATGTACCCGAGATGGGTGTGGCTGTTGGTTAAGAGAAGAACTACAGCCATACTCACACCCTA